CCTCCCTAATCACAGGCCGTCACTAATTTCATTCACAGCTTTAGATTTATGCACATTTTTAGGAATTCCAAAAATCATTTTAGATTTAGGGTTTGATTTTAGCTCATTTATAGGCGTTTATGTGGAACTTAGCCAGCAGGATAAGAAAGTTTATCATTTATTCTCTGTCTAACATGCTGTTAGTGGAAATAAAAAAATGTTTAATATTCAAAGGAATAAATATTTTACATTTCCAACTAAAGAGAATATTAAAGTTGCACCAAAAGATTTTAGCTGAAAGAGAATTTAATAAAAGGAGGATTAATGTTTGTAGTTCGATGTGATAAAAGGAACAATTAGGATCAATATTTAAATATATTTAATGCTGAATTAACGGGGTAACACCTTTTAAAGAGCATCTCGCTTTCTTTATTTACATTTATTTATTTATTCTTGGCAACAACCATGTTTGTTCCCGATCAATATCTGAATAAAGTTTGATCAAAAACGCAGGTTGGCCAATAGAATTCCTCTGGATTATTTCTCTAATAAACTCTTTATTTCCAGTTTTAATAATTAGGAACGGATCTGAATTAAGTTTTCTAGGTTAATATGTAAACTTTGATTTTCACTTCCTCTTTAATCCACGTCTGAGCGCCAGCAATCTCTCCTGCTGCTGTTGCTGCTTTTACAGCACAGTTTAGTCGGCTTTTACCCAGAATGCCTCATGTTCTGATCTGCTTCCTGCTTTGGGAGCGCTCTACGTCCCCGTTAACGTTTCCTTAAAGCAGTTTTATCTTCACTCACGTGCAGCTAATTATCCATCTGGAAACATCGGAGATAAACTCCAACCATCGACCCTCCGTATCGGACGCTTTACGGAAACCTGAATGTGAGGCGAGTCTCTAAAACCGCCGCCGTCAATCAACAGCCGCCTCCTCGTTTCGTTTTAAACAGACTCCAAGTTTAGTATTTTAAAGTTTTATTTGTTTTCTTGCAAAATATAACTTCCTGCACTCGCCTGCAATGTAGCTGGAAGCGCCACCCTCTGGTGGAAAGAACAGGTATTACAAAAACAAAACAAAAAAACAACTAAGAAGTTTAAACCAGGATTTATTTTTTTCTGGTGTTTTTGTTTGTGGAAGAAAAAAAAAAGAGTTGAAAATTAATCAAGTTTTTTTTTATTGTGCTGGCCTTAACTAAGAGTGTTTTCTCCCACTCTGTTTGATGTAGTTTGAGGTCAAAAACTCTTAAGTTCCCCATCTATGTTCCATTTAGCTGTTATAACTAAAACATAAATATATAATCATTGAAGGATTGATATTTAAATTGCTGCCACATTATTTCTTACACCGTGTCTAAATTACCTTATAACTGAAAGAAAGTCTAAGCTTATGTGGGAAATAAAGTCTTAATCTGAAGAAAGATCAGTTTAAATGTCCTACAAACATGCTGGAATATGCTAATTCTCTATTGCTTATAAAAATATAAAATAACCACATGCCATGGCCAATGGAAACTCTCTCTGTACCTTATTTTACTTTGCAAACATATATAATATATTTGGGACATTGATTCTTGGAAACCAGGCCTCTCTGACGAAACAGTTGAAGAAAACACCCGACAGTGAACGCCCTCTAGTGGCAAACAAAAGTATTGCCAGAACAAACAGAAAAAAATTGCCTTTGATTTTTTCTTTTAATTTCCTCTTGTCTTTCAGGGCTGCCATACCGTAATCTATGTAATGGGTTAGCTTCATCTGGATTATAGACAGATATAGCTGGGTATCATCAGCATAACAGTGGAA